GGCATATGTTTAAAGGCCCTCCTCCCCCTTGTTGCGGCCACGGTCTTGTCGCCCCTGTGCGGCCGTTGCATTCTGCCGAGAGAGCCGGGAGGCTTCACACATCCGTGTGCGTCCTCCTCTGCAGCGAGGCCTCAGAAACTGAGAATCCCGGAGCTCGGCTCTGCCCGTTCAGCAAAAAAGAAAAAGCTTTGCTGATGAATTAGCCAGTCAAGCTCGCGCTTAATCCAAAACACGGATTGATGCACAAACACAAAATAATGACGAATAATGCATTAAAATGGATGTTTCCAAAACAAACGATCCTGTTTTGCATTGAGAGCTCTTTACTTGGCTTTACAAACAAAAATGAATGCCAATTCTCGTGGCTTAAGTGCGTTCCAGAGCGGTACAGTACAGAAGCGGGGGGGGGGGGAAGGGAATTATATTCACAAGAACGAGAAGGTGGAACGCCAATTATTGGCAATTCCGAAGTAACCGGTGAAATCCACAGTCTTCAGCGCCTAAGCTCGTTGATCTGCGAGCGAGTGGCGCGGCATTCCAAAAGCATAATCCTCTCAACGGGAAGCAGTGGCGGCAGCGGCGGCAGCAGCAGCAGACTTCGCCACGCGAAGACACGAAGCGTCTGCGAGCATTACTCGCAGCCGGCGTTGGCGGCATGTCTTATCATGCCCTGGAAGTGTAGGGAGCCGACGGAAAATAAATTACAAGCGAACAAGATGCAGTCATTCGTGCACTATACATCACATTCCATATTCGCTGTGTTGTGATTTTTATTTTTTTACAACGAATTCCACCGTGCTGCGAGGCCTTTCCTTGCGATTAGTGGCTTAAGAAGAGATGCCCCGACATGAGCCGTTCCGTAATCAACCCCTCTGGCTCTGTGCCCCATCATTAGCACGGCTTCTTGGCTCCTTCCGCCGAGCCGACACACACTCCGTGAGTGAGGTCACCTCTCCTGCGGACAAATTAAAACAACTCCCTACGTCCACACTTCAGGTCAGGGTGCAGCTCCGAGTCGCGGACAGACGGTCCGGCGGACCAAGACAACTTCTACGCCGCTGTGTTTTTGAATGTAACAAAACTGTTGTTTTTTTTAAAGAAGAAAAAAAACAAGCTTATGAATTGATTCTGTAACGCTTTCCAACAGTGTGCGTTTATCATTCTGAGAAGTATATTTTTAGCAGTGTGTGCAGCTGTCAGGGAAAAATATGTAAACATATTTGTGCACTAATGTGCATGGTCCTTTTGGCACTGGTTTAAATCTGCAATTTTTGAGCAACACTGTGGTCAATTTAAGGCAGTTTTCTAGAGGGTACGTCCCTAATAGGACCACAACATTAAAACTAAAATTATGATTACACGGGATTATCTTCACCAGAGCTATCGTGTCCCCATGTTACCGACAGACGGACGGAGAGAGCCAATGCGTGAACGCTTTCAACCCGGGTTGGAAAACGTAAAAAAAAGAACCCCTTCCCCATCCTTCGGTCGTGTTTATCAGCTGACTGAAGGATGCATGTAAAGTGCACGTTTGGGAGGCACTGTGTATACAAACACAAGTAGTGCGCCCCCCCCTCTCCCCACTTGGGAATGACAGAAGACTCTTCTTGGTTCTTTCGGTAAAGTCACGTAGAAGGGAAGTAATTGAATAATAAAAATAAAACATAATAAAATAATTCTTATGTTTTATTTTTATTATTTTATTACTTCCCTTCTACGTGACTTTACCGAAAGAACAAAGAAGATGAATCCCTGCAGTCACGAAAGCTTTAAATCGAGACAGAAGACTCGTCATACGTGCCCCCCGCAAAACATCTGTATGCAACGTAGATTGTTCATACCAGAGAGTGCTGTGCGATTGGATTGCCGCCCATGGGGTACAAAATAACCAGGACATATCGGGGGGGGGGGGGAAAGAATATCTGAACTTACCGAAAGAGGGGAGGACTGCATGGAAAATGTGTCGTCTTGAGGGGGAGTACGACCTCACAACCGACAAAAAAACTGGGAACATTTACAGATTTCCCAAATGCACTGGGAACAATTACAGATTTCCCAACACAGCTATGTCGGGAAGAGGACGATTCTGGGACAACCAGGACAGGTGGCAACCCCCGCTGTGAGATCAGGACTCGTCCGTGACATCGGCTGCAATGCTGTGTGGGGCAGCTGTCAAGAGGCTGGAAGTTGCGTTCGCAAAGAGCAAAAGCGTTACTCCCTCCAGGCCACCCAGCAACGAGTCTGTTTAACGCTGCATTCCACCGCTGTGAGAGCAGCCCACGGAGAAAGTAAAACATTTAAAGTAGGGAATAAATCCAAGAAAAGCTCATTTTCAACTGGTGCTGGAGTCGTCACCATCACAATCAGATAAGTCTTGCGAAGACGAAGACCACACAAATATGCAAGATAGTTTTGCATACATAACTCAAAACTTGAGATGGAAAAAAATTCGAGCACAGTTTTCGTTTCCTCTATTTTTGAAACCAGCAACGCTTCCTCAATGAGTGAATTTAAGTGATTTGAAAAATAAACATTCCCCGTGTGAAAAAACAGTGATGACGAACAGTAAAACAGCACTGGGCCACACTCTTGTCGTGTCGATGAGCATAGACCGTCAAGCGAACTCCGCTCATACTCGCAACGGCTTATGGCTAACCGTCGAACAAAGATGGTCACCGCATCGCACAGCGCTTTGAGATGCGCTTCTACGACCATCTGGAACGCTCTCCTTTCTGATATGAGGAATTCATTGGAGCTATGCACTTTTACATCTAGATTGAAAACTAATTTCTTGAGAACTGCTTTTATGTTTCGATTCTTATCCTTCCCCCACACCTCAAATTAGCACAGTTGGTTGCGTATGGTGTGAAAGAAGTTCAACATACACACGAGCACAACTGCAGATTCATACAGATTCGTAGATTTAACAAAATCCACGTAACCTGGGTGTAGGTTATTTTTTTTTCTTATAAGTCACCGTGTTCAAAATGTGACTTCGTGAAATACTTCGGCGGATTTGTGCATAGCCCAGACCACATTGGGCTGGACAGCATGCAAGAAAGTCACGGGAGGGCGCTCAGATTACCAGAATATTGCATAAATGTACATTTTCTTGGAAAATAGATGGCAGATCCCAAATCCCGGTCCTGAAAGAACACCATTCATCAGTGCTTCATGAAGACTTGGTTAGAGTTGAGTCGTGTAGTTTTCTTTTTAATTTCTAAGGCTCTGGAAATGTCTACAAAAATACCTCCCACAAACTTCTGCTTCTCTTACTCCTGTGCCCCAAATTCTGTATAAAAATACTATTGACCACAACATGCAATAACCTACTCTCGGTGACCTTAGCTGAAGTCAGCAAGGTATGGCTTAGCCTAGCAATGTATCACCAAGTATACAATAGGTGTTTCTACAATAATATACCGCACTGCATTATGGGTACCCAGGAATGGAATGTCAGCAAAGTTTTCATAGTTTTGCTCTAAACTCAAATGCGTTCATTCCTACATCTTTGACCTTTGAAAGTGTTGTTACAAAATATATTCCAACGTTCATATGCCAATTGAACAAATATCCTGAAAACGAAATTTCTATCAGGACCCAATAGAGTGCAACACTGTCTTCAACTCGATCTCTGTGGCGTCTCTAAATCTCTTCACTGTGAAGAAGTGCAATTGTCCAAAATGTCACCTATGATAGAATTTTTCTTCTTTGTGGCAGTATTATTCGTTGTTTTTTCATCGCACAACTATTTATCAATGTTGTCTCGTTAGAGTGCTGTAGTTTGGCTCCGAGCCTGAGGTATTTCTACTGAATATCCAGACAAAGCTAGCACAGCAGTCTTTTCTGGTACATCGATATATCACATTCTCCAGTACGGTATTTTTAACTAGTTGCAGATCTTTATGTAAAAAAAAAAACAGAGTGCATAATGTTTTATGAGCGCACGCTGCATGTTGCATGCATTACCAGAATTGGAAAAAAAAATGTTCTGTAGCTCAGATAAACTTTTCTGTGACTTCTGGCATCGGTCTATTTAGCACACGCAATCAGATGTGCCCAGTAAATTTGGTACAGCTTTCATAATAAGTATTTATTGCCTCCTTGTAAATGTACTGCTGGATGCCATGTAGGTTATACTTCACCACACGGGGTCAATGTGGGTTGATGGCCAGGGTTGGCTCAGACATTACTTGCCATTGACATGAGCCGTGGCTGGCAATCAAACTCAGGTCACACGGTTTATAGCGCAATTCATTTCCCGCTCACTCTTCCAGGATTCATTAAAATATAGAAATTCCGGGATGTGTAAATAAGATGCAGTAGTTTATAACGTGGTCCCAAAGGCACGGTTAAAGTTTGATGTTTTTTTTACATATAGGTCAGCACATAAAATATTCAGCATGTGTGCAACATAATTGTAATACGCATACTCATAAATACTAATTTACATATAAAATACTCCATTAAGTAAAGTGGCAAATTACCGATGCGGGGCGTGTCATGTAATTTCAGAAATACCAAACATTATATTCGTACTTATAACCCACCTAGAATGGGTGCCACATAATTCAACGCGGTCTGGGAAGGCCTTCACCCAGCAGCGGATAGACAAGGGGCTGTGAATGATTACTTTTCTTACGATGAAAGGCATCTAAAGTGACACAGATATCTCGCCAATTGCGAGACATCTGGCCTGTGTGGAAGAATAGGCCAAATACCCTCCAGAGCACCGTCTAGTGAAATGTCTTATTCCAGCAGTGGTGAGGATGCAATCACAGGGATGCACCGTTACATTTACAGCCCGTCCTGCTGGATGATGAGATTCCCATGCCGCGTGGGTCGTGGTTCATTCGAGTCGACCTCGTCGCGCTGGTTGGCGCAGGGCAGCGACAACAACAGTCGTGGGGCTGCACCTTCACCTTTTTCTTTCCTCTTTGTACCTTAAACGTGTTAAGTGCAACGTCCCTAACCGCCCCTTCCGCTCCCATCTCATGCAGGACTCTCAGGCGCATAGGCCCGGCGTCTCCACGCGCATCCCCGTGCCGCGCAGCGTCCGAGCGGGAAAGAGCATCGCGGCCGGCTCGGTGCCGGCGGGGTCCTCGGCGGGCGGGCGCCTGGAGGCCGGGCAGCCCGTGCGCATCGAGCTCAAGAAGCCGAATGTCTATGGCGGCCTCGCCGGCTCTGCCGGCAAAAACTAGCGAGGGGGCCACCGTCGATGCCGCTTGCTGAAGGCGGGGATAATGGTAAAAACAAAGCACCCCCCCCCCCCCCGACAAAAAAAAAAACTAAAACTACTCTGTCTTCTTGGTTCTTTCGGTAAAGTCACGTAGAAGGGAAGTAATAAAATAATAAAAATAAAACATAATAAAATAATTCTCACGACGCTGTCTCCCCGACAGACCTGGTCTTCACCTGAGGACGGCTGCTTGCGTTGTGGCCGACACGTCATGAGAATTATTTTATTGTTTTATTTTTATTATTTTATTACTTCCCTTCTACGTGACTTTACCGAAAGAACCAAGAAGATGAATCCCTGCAGTCACGAAAGCTTTAAATCGAAAAATAAAACTACTCTGCTTGGGAAAAAAAAACAGACCACGCTTTGGCACGAACATACACAAGCTGCCTGCTGAGAGTAGATGGAGGAGAAACTTTTATTTCATGGCGATGTTTAATAATAAAGTATGGTAATGATGTGTGCTTGTGTGTCATAGTACTATATCATATATAGTACTGTGCTTTAAAAAAAGACAGTTCAAAACTCACGTGGAATTTAAAATAAACTACGAGCTATCTTTTGGAATTCAGCAATCAACCATGTATTCACTACAGACGTTAGTTTGATTCTAACATGCTTACTGCTATGTACAAAACAAATGAGGTTTGTGCAGCTTACAATAAACCTGCTTTTGCGCATCAGTGTAACAAATTACACGCGTGATGGCCAGATATTTTGTTGAGTGAGAGTGGGATTTAAGCCAGGACACTGCAAGACCCATCCTCATTCAAACGATACCTTGGGAACGTTTATGTCCTCCCAGCAGACGAGATCTCGTTGTAACATCTGGCTCATTGAGCATTGGCAAAGCGTAGGGAGTGCTTATTACTTCAGCATCTCATTCTGGACCAATAAAGCTTTTCTCTGGTGATCCCGCCATCCAAATACGGGGCAGGCCAAAACCTGCTTGGCTCCTCAGAGCCAAAGGGATTAGGTACGTGAACGTCATCGTGGGAGAAGGCTGAATTCGTTTGAGTAACAAAAAAAAACAAAATAAACCATTCATCAATGTTGAGTGATTAATAGTTGTTGCCAACTCAATCTTTCTGGCCTTTATCTCTCTGCTATGAAGGACATTTACCAGAAACGTAATGTGTTATACTATGATTTACAATTGGCTTATTTTTGGTTTGACCATGTAGGTAAAATGCCAATTGCTAAGTATAACCCCACCACACAACTCAGGTTGACACGTGGGCAAATATACATATCGATTTGGTTTATTAGCAAAATCGGAATGCTGAAAACAAGCAACATTTTTTACGATTTTATACATGACATTTCGCTGGAGGTTACATCCAACATCATCAGGTTGTTAACAAGAGCTCGCGTGTTTTTTTTTATCCTCGTACACTATAGTTTTCCCCCTTCAGGGCAGTGTTGTTGACAAATGTGCCCGACTTTTTGTTACATGTTCTTGTACATCACCGCCATTGTTACGGAATTCCTCGAAAACACAATTCCAGGGTTCCAGTTGGAGCCAACTCGGGCTGAGCTCAAGAAAATATTCATCTGCCCTCCCTCGCCACGTCCCTTCCCCCTGGAAAATATTCCACGAGCAATTAAGCCCTGCACAAGGCCATCGACACCACGCACACAAGAGCACCCTCGCACCACAACTCCCCAATAAGGAGAGGTTCAAAACGTAATAAATGACAACGGCTTGTGTGCGTTAAAAAATATTTTCTCTCTATTTTCTCTGCCGATAGTTTGAAGACAGCGGGGGTGCCTATGGTGAAAACGGCAAGAGGAAAATCAAACACCACTGGAGTAACGTTCACACGCAACGTTCTCCAGACGACCGTCAGAACAGCTGCTGGGGCTGCGGGGGGCGGATGGAGTGACCAAATCCTGCTGTTTTCTTTTTTATTATTATTATTTTTCATGTAAAATAAAAAAAAATCGTGAATGTGTGGCCCAGGAGACGGCGGTCCGTAATTATGTTACAACATTTCCTTCTCGTGTGGCTTACGGCCAGACCTGGCTAACTCAATCAAATAACGTCGCACCAAAGCCTGCAGATCCTAATGCAGCGTGACATTGGAAGTACTGTTGTTTTTCATTCTTCATCATTTTTTTTCTCTCCTTTGGAACAATGTGTTATAATATTGTACCAAGCAACAACTAGGTTTGTTTTATCTTGGCTGCAGCAAAAAGTTTCGTTTTTTTTGTAAAAGTGCAGGGAGCTTTATGTACACACTGAATTTGCTGTGCTGTGTTCATTGAACAAAAACGTGTATTTTATGTCCTGTGCCGAATTTGCGTTACACAATATTCCGAAAATAAAAGACCAGACAATTGTAACAACAACAAAAACATAATCAGATCACTATTTGCAAGCCCTGCATTGAGCACCGTGTTTTGCTTGTTTGAATTTTATCAACAAAAATAAAACTTCCTTTACACATTGCAGGTATTCTGCTGCCGGTGGGGATTGTCAAGTGTTCTTGTAAATAAATAAACTCCCAAAACTTTCCCCACGACGGTTACACTTCTACCACTGAAACGTACGCGTTTTAAAATCAATTCTTAACCCGTCAAACGCATCCGTACACGTTGGACCGCATTGTCAGAGCAACAGGAAAACAGAGTCATTTTCATTCCTTCCCGCTGTAAAATTCACTTATTTCCTGAGAAACTGACTTGGTCTCTTGGCACGTTGGCTCAGAGGCTCTAAAATTGGGTAGAGTATCTGCCACCATGTGATTTGTACTGAGAAGAGCTCCCGGTGCCAATTCCCAGAATGCTGTCACAGCCAAAATATTCAGGGACAATGCACTGCTGAAATTACAGATGCCCCCCCCCCCTTTTGTAGAATTAATAAGTTATATACCGTAAATATACAGCACCTGATTGCTATATGCACACACATGCATTGGCTGCCTTACCTTCTTATGGTGCTATGCATTGACCTTTTTTTAGCTTTTAAAACACGAATTGTCAATCCCTCTGTATGTAAAGGACGTCCTATCTGTACTGCGTTGTTTTTTTTCGCGGTTGTGCTGTGTAGTTCTCTTACTTGTTTTTGGGGTTGTACCGCGAGCTGTTCGATGTGACGTCCAACGTTTCACTCCACGTCTGGAACTGAATTCAAAAGCTCCTAACACGTGGAGTGAATCGTCGGACATCGTGTCGAACAATATACCGGCCTACAACCAGAAAACACATCAGAGAACTATGTCCTCTCTGCATCTGTGGGGGGAGGCTCCTGGATTAATTTATGGTGTAAATATTCAAGCATCGGAGGGTGTAGCCAAGTGCGGCCGTGCACACCTGTAACGCAGTTGCTCGGCGGCAGGGGTTAGCGGATCGTCTAGCGATGGGAGCACTGTGTCTGTACTAATATGTCTATCACTGATCACCTACTGGTGTGTCACAGGGGTGATGAACAGGCTTTTACGGGAGGCAGAACAGCCACTACGGCCCATGCAAGTGAGGAAGGCAATCCCTACTGCTAGAAAGGCAAGAAGGGGAACAGAACGATGATTTTTTTTCCTGCCCTCTCAACAACACTCGAATCTATTTGCTTTTCACGCAGACAATAATTTAGCGATGTTAAAACCGTTACCGCGCAATATCCATTTGGTTAAACGTTGTAATCCTACAAGACCAACATGTACACATTGCTCATCACTTACGGTGCAATAAAGTTTTTCCCCATTTTTCTGTTTTAAGTGTACTGCGTTATCTTTGTACGCGACAGTCGACGCTTTTAGATGCACGCTGCTGGTGTTGCATTACGTACATGTCCAACCCCTTGTCAATCCGCTGCTGGATGACAGCCTCCTCACCATGTTGTGCGGGTTATGGATGTGATACGGCCATGCTGCAAGGTCATGCTGGTCATAGCTCGTGGGTGAAGGCAAGTAAGCATAGATGTGGGGGCACAGAAGTACAACAACATGGATAATACTGCATCACCGTCTGCTGTCCACAACATAACCCATGGCAGTCACCCATCTAAGCACGAGCCAGGATCAACCCCTGCTTATCTTCCGATACCTGATGATAAAGGACACATTCCAGATGATTTGTTCGCAGGTAATCTGTCCATCATATCAGCATGGACAAGAACATCTTCACCATATTCATTAGTTTATCCAGGTTAATTGGAGTTTTGCTGTGGTAGCAAATATTGCTAATAGTCCCATATTGTAGCTGCTCACCCCAAGCTATAAATGACCTGATAGTGGCATTGTCTTTGTGCTGTTCACCTTTTGGCGTCCTCTGGTCTAACACCGTTTGAGACTAGGCTCAAAAGAAAGCTGTCTCTGGTGTGGACCAATCAGTTTCAAAGACAATGCATATACTGTCAGAACATAGTTTTTGTTTGTATTTTCACCACAAGTATCTGTGGTTAATGCAGACATGATTCCTTGCAAAAATTTCAGTTTGGTGTTTTAACATCTCAACACCAGTTTTATTGCCAGAAAAGTGAAAACCCTATTAGCATAAATTATTATTATTGTTTGAATGTCTTTACTGGTAAATACAAGTTTTTTTCCCCGTGTACTGCTTTTCAGTTTGAAGACAAATCACCCCACTCGTTATCAGCCATGAAATCCCACTGTTGGATAGTGGAGCAATGAGATTGAGTTCTGGTCACGAAAAATACAGAAAGTATGTTAGTTTTGTTCCACTTAGATTGTAGTTATTTACTTGTTATTTTTAACTGCACCCACTGAGCACGAGCACAAAGTCCAATAATGCAAAAAAGGCAGCAACTAATACCTCATTTTACTTTTACACGTACGAATATATTACTGGAGTAGAGCAAGGTAACGGGAGCCTGGCAAAACGGATCAAAGGAGGCAGTTCCAAGGTGGAGCAGTACACCCGATTCAAGAGCCGAATGGCTCACAGGGCTATACCAAATAAATGAAACTGAAAACTGAAAGAAGATGACAAATGATGTGTCCTGCAAATATTGAGCTTGAACACAGAATGGGGATGTGATTTAAAAGTCAATCTACTTGAATGAGTCGTTGACATTGGCTTGGGTATGAAGGTGTAACATTCATGACAGCAATTGTGACAAGGATGGACAGAATGATTGTAAGAGAGTGACTGGAATGAATAACTGAGCAATGGATCATCACTCAACCAAACTGCTTTTATGTTGGATTCTATGACGCACTCCAGTGACAGCGTGAAACTCCACCCCAGATGTGATGAGTGTACTCCAACCTTGGCCACTGTTCATGTACAGAAGTGAGATGGATTGGAGCATTATATGACTGAGGGGTAGCAATGGCAAGAGAAAGTCTCTCTTTATCCAGCATATCTTATGCAATGAAAACCCAGTTAAAAAAGGCACGGACAATATCTATGATCATGATGATGACATGGCTGATGATGAAATAAAAACGCAGTCATACAAATCATAGATAATGGCTGATAATATGGCTGATGGTGAGGGTGAATGGCTGATTATTTAGAACTGGAAATTATAAAGATGACAATTGAATGGCTGCTGCTGATGTTTTAATGATGAAATGGCCAATTATTATTTAGTAGATAAAATAAAAACCTAGTGATAAAGAGCATCTAAAATTGCTGATCATATAACTGATGATGGCACAAAGGCGGATGTACTGTGATATGCTTGCTGAAAATGCAACGGTGATGCTAATATTGCTGATGAAACAGCCGATGATGACATTGCTGCAGATGCTAATATAGGTGACGCTGATGACTAAAAGTCTGATTCTAATAGTCCGTGGTGCCAGGCATAAGCAAGCTAAGCAAAAACATAGGACCCAAGCTGCTCAAGAGGACCTGGATTGATGGAAAGAAATAGAGAAGCACCAAATATCAGCTTGAATTCAGATCCTAATAAACATAGACATCGAATTAACATTATACTCATTAATATATCTGCTGTTTACCTTGTATGCAGCTCTCTCATCTAATTTCACAATATTTCTGTTCAAAATGTCTCTTCTCATCATATGTTACAGCTCTATCTCTCGCCTGTATATCTCTCATCTCGCTACATCTGTCTGGGCCTCCATCTCTTCGGTCATCTCAGGAGTTAATAATTTGAAAGGTAAGGATGGCAAAATGGTGTCCGAGTAAGGAACTACCAATGAACCAGTACCCACAACCACCACTCATGATGATGAAATTGCTGATGAACTAATTACCAGCAGTTTAACACGTAGGCTTTCGCGACCAACATTATTCATCATAAAGGTTGTTGGGTTAGATCGCGTTATTTATAAATATGTCGCAACCCTCCACCACCCGACACGGGCAATCAGTAAAAAATGTGTCACGTTGACAAAAGACAAATAGTTCACTACTTTAGCACGGTGTGTTGAAGAGTGGATCCACAACATTTACAATTTGAATACGACGTTTCGCTCAACATTACATCCAGTATCTTCGGGCGATTTGCTAGAATAGAGAAGCCATCCACGTGCTCCCGGTCTTAAAGAGTGCAAGATGACGTCTTCGTTGTTGAACCCCATCAGGATTCGAGATAAGAGGCAGAGGTGAATGCAATTATGTAATAGATCAGTAATCAGCCACTTAGCATGTGACGCACCTGTAAATAATTGCAATGTGTTGTGTTTTACTTAATAATACGGCTGCGCTGAGTCGACAGCTATCACAACGATTGAAATGATTTGAATTTTTCTCAATTTAAATTGATTCTCTAACTAGTTAATCTTGGCCGGTAATAATTAGTTCTGCATAACACTTCAACGTTATCAAAATCAATTGAATGTCCTTGTTGTTGAGGACGTCATCCTGCCCTATTTAAGACCGGAAGCAGGTGGATGGCTTCACTATTCTAGTAAATTGCCCGAAGAGGCCGGATGTAATGTTCAGCGAAACGTCGGACTCGAAATTGTCAATGTTGTAGATTCACTCTTCAACACACTGGTGGGCTAAAGTAGTGAACTATTTGTCTTTTGTCAACGCGACACATTGTTACTGGTAGGAACCTCCTGGTTACACCAGCCAACAGGGGATTATTGTGTCCGTCCGTCCGTCCTGCATCCAAAAATGGGAGGGGTGGGGCTGGGTGGGGAGGGGCTGGGTGGGGAGGATGGGGTGGGGAGGGGCTGGGTGGGGAGGGTGGGGAGGGGCTGGGTGGGGAGGGTGGGGAGGGGGAGGGTGGGGAGGGTGGGGAGGGGCTGGGTGGGGAGTGGGAGGGGTGGGTTGGGTGGGGGAGTGGGAGGGGTGGGCTGGGTGGGAGGGGTAGGGCTGGGTGGAGAGGGGCTGGTCACCCCGTGGTGCCCTTATAAAACTCAACGTTTAACCTACTCACGCCGGCTTGTGCCCGCCCTCACAGTCGGGCATATTTGCGGAATACACCACGCCGCCGTTGACCCTGGCCATTGACCGAGCAACCCAACGTTCCTACCAGCTCCCTCCGCAGGATTGTGTTTTACTGATTGACAGTGTCGGGTGGTGGAGGGTTGCGACACATTCATAATTAACGCAATCTAACCCAAAAAAAAACTTTCTTATTAATAATTACCAGCATTAAACTAATTATTTAGAGGTGGTGCTGCAAGGACAATTAACAAAACCACTCCACAAGCTCGTCAATTACACTGCTGTATGTAACATCGACCACGTTTTGGGCTATTGAGGTCCGCTTGCCCGAAACGTCGAAGATGACACATTGTATCTATAAAGTATTGTCGATTAGGGAGCGGTGGTGCGGCGGTTCGATTCACGGCCAACACCAGTGACGATTGTCTGAACCGGTCCCGGGCCTCCCCTAGGTCGACTCGGCCTCAAATGAGTACCTGGTGCGGTGTGTCAACATCGCCACTGGGGAGACAAAGGCGGTCGGGCGTGGTGCTAGCCCCCCACCCCCTCGTGTGGTGCTGCTCGCTAACAGCACTTGCCCCATCAGTCTGTGAAGGCTACACGGGGGATCTTTGTCTTGTTATGTACCAAACATCGGCGGGGATCTCTGCCTTTGACATCGATTGATATCGATTGTTGTAGCAGTTCGCTCGATCAGAGGTCTCGCATCGCCACCCGGCGGCCACGCGTGGATATAACAACGACTTGCAAGTCCACCACGAACATTCACAACCGACATGGAGAGAGACAGGGAGACGAGACGATGATGAGGATGATGATGGCGTGAGAGGGGCCGTGGACGTTCCACACTCGACCCCGAAGCACAAAAATAAACGAAGAACTCGAGAAGCCATCGAGAAGAGGAAACTCAAATTGCCGATTTTACCTCCCCACCCCCCCACTCCTCGCTGTGAACACGTGCGTGCGTGTACAGTACAGCGCACTGTACCACGTGCGTTCTAAGTAACAACCGCGTGGCCGTCGACGACTTTTACATTCACGCCGCTCGCTCTCAGCTCCACCCCGGCAGAGGTGGTGGACATTGCGCACGAAGACGACGACCACAACCCGTGGTGGTGGTGGTGTGTGGGGCGCGCCATACACGTGGGGGGGGAGGAGGAGGAGTACGCTGCCTTAACTGCACCTCGAGGCGCGAAGGGGCAGCGTGGAGGGGGGGGGGGCAGCGTGGGGGGGGGGCAAGGGAACACGTGGGGGCAGCGTGGGGGGGGGGGGCAGCGTGGGGGGGGGCAGCGAGGGGACACGTGGGGGCAGCGAGGGGGGGGCAGCGTGGGGACACGTGGGGGCAGCGTGGGAACACGTGGGGGCAGCGTGGGGGGGTGACCACGTGCTAAGCTCGCGAGGCGGCTGTCCTTACCTGACCGCTGCTCCGCGACGCTCTCCTGCAGCCACCAGTCTTGTCCCAGGTCGTCAGCCATGAAGGAGTTGCTGGTGGTGGTGTGTGATGTGTGTGTGGTAGTGGTGTGTGGGTGGTGGGAGCCCCCGTGTGGATGTTGCGGCAGGCGGCCGCGAAGAGAGTGGCACGAAGTCGTCGTGGTGGTGGTGATGGTGGTGGGGGGTGAGAGGCGGGAGGGAAAAACGCAGCGCATTTCCCAGCTCGCATAAGCCACGAAGTGAATAACAACAATCTAATCTTGATTTGAAGTTTTCGTGACTGCAGGGATCCATACCCTTTGGTTCTTTACCGAATAAACCAAAGAGTATGAATCCTTGCAGTCACGAAAGCTTCAAATCTAGAATTAATTTAAGTGTCCCACCTGATGACGGACGCTTGTGTTGCGCCCGAAAACGTCGTGATTTAATTTATTTTATACTTACGTTCATTTTCCTGAAAGAGCCAAGGAGTAACAACAATCTACTTATTGCACCGCGACTTTTTGTCACGTGTGTCACGATGTGGTCAGCCATGGTCTAGCCACAGCTGGATGGTGATGATGAGGATGCTCCTTCACAAGACGCTCTTTGTTGCAATGTGACAGCGAAAGAGATGCAGCGATCGATGGTTCCCTGCACACGAACCGCGGTCATCGCTCCATCTCGACAAAAATCGCTCCATCTCCACACGCACCGCTCCATCTCTACGATTTTTTACCCCCCTCAAATATGACGTCACAAAGCTCTGCCCCCTCCCCCCCTCAAATATAACGTCACAAAGCTCTGCCCCCCCCCCTCAAATATAACGTCACAAAGCTCTGCCCCCCCCCCAACCATATTTCCATTTTGAAAATAAAACATGCTTCAAATCGCTTTAAACTATTGTCATTGTAGTGCGTATTTAATGTGGGGCTGCACTTTGATGTTGTAGGAGAAAACATTTATTAAAAAGTCTTTAATTAAGTAGAACGTTTTGTCTATATTTAAAGTGCACATTTTGATGTGACGTCACATTTCTCACTCCCCCCCCTCCCATCGTCACACATCGTCACGAATGTTTGACCCCCCCCCATAGGTGCGTGACGTCATTTATGGACGGCCCCATATCTGTGATATCCCCTCTAATGGGATATCCGTGATATCAACTTCCGTGGGCTGTTGTCTGACACGAGGTGATTGTACTGCACTGTGAGAGATCCGAAAGGATGTTTCGTCCCGTTTTCATGATGCCAAATTGGGGTAGTTTCGTGGAAAAGACTAAAAACGTGGCCATCAAATGTAGCTAATTGTCGGAGGGCATAGCAGATAATTCGATTCAACATTTCAAAGGAAAACGTAGCTTTTCCAGGTTGTGTAACAAGATACATTATTAATAAATATTCTTAATAGTACTGTACTTTATAAATAGAAGACTTCACATACAACCAGCTGTGCTGGTTTAAAACGTGTCATTGTAGCGGTGGTTTTGTGTGCTTCAGTCATTGTTTACACTATAAACAGATGCATTGTGTGTATATAGATTAACAAAAAATGGCATGCGTTGTATTGTCAATTAAAGTAGCTCAAAGTGATAACGCTCTGTATGATCTCGTAACGGATATATAAGTAGGCAGTGATGCACAAGGATAAATAAAAAAAACCAACAGTTGTCAATCACACATTGCCCTAAAAGGCAAAGTATATAACAGGCGACTTTTTTGGTAATGGCCTTTCTTCATAGCAGAGATATTCCCTTAATTGTGGTAGAGATCTGCTGTGACGCAGGTCCGTTGTCCAAAACGTCACCGATTAAGTTTGTAATTTAGCGCGGCGTTATGGATTATTTTCTGAGAGTTATTATAATGTTTAGACAGCCTTCAGAAAGCGCAAAATATATGGTCGACGGGACACTGGCACTTTGGCCAAATGCAATTTCCATTCCTGAAAATGCATTAATCCTCGCATACAAAAATTGCCTTTCTCCCCTGTCCACCCGTTCCCCTATTAAGAAATGATGACGCAGCACAGACGAAAACTTGAAACGCTATTACGGTCTTGTCTCCCGAGATGGGATATTGAAATGAGTGGGAGGTGATGGTGGGCAGCGAGAGTGGGCGTTTGACGAGAGCACAATAATCAATCAATCTTCGCAGCTGACGGTTGTTATTTTAAGCAGGGTGCATAATGATCATTCAGCGTCGCCGTGGAGAATGTCGCCAAATAGACATTCAAACGCTTCATTCCCATCTATATTTTTGCCTCTCCGCATAAAAAATATATAAAGCTTTTTGTTGTTCACATATCCCATGGATCGTACGACTTCCTGCAACTTCATCGTATCAGCAGCATTGGTTCAATACAAACTTACTTGAGACTTTTAGTGTCATCAGCAGTCAGGCTTACTGAGTCAATGTGTAGTAAATTGCACGATTTTATAAATGCAAATAAAGGGCCGTTATTTTATGAATTGGTTCTAACTTGCTCGAGCAAAACTATACATCACACAACGAGTGTTATTATGTGGAAAAAATAAGATACAAAAAACAAGCAGGCGTACAACTTGTGTCTTCTTCGAGGCTTCGCTTGTAATTCTCCACCGGCAGAGGGCGTAAGCGTCCTTTGCTGGAGATGCCCTGCAGATCCGCGTGTTGCGAAGCAATTGCCGAGCAATAACATCAGTAACGTGCCGCTCCAATATTGCGACGTGTCTGCCCCGTGATAAGTGCAAGGTCACTTAACACACGTCGTAATTCTCTCTCGTTCCCTCCCCCCTCTCCAAACTTGAAAGAAGGCCCTAAACCTGCAAACTGGGTTTCCAATTAAGAGGAATTAATCCACCTGCAGAGAGAACAAAAATGTCTGCTCATCAACATCCATCATCATTAACCACATCATCAACCACTACCTCGTTCATCACCATCATCAGCCAATGTCTTACCCACTGTTGAGTGTCAGGTCATTGGAGGTTGTTTGACAAACAGGACAACCTTTATCCATCACTGCATGCTAAATGGATGTATATAATAAAATAATGGGTTTGCAATTCATTATACAGTATATGCGTACATTGTATATCCTGATCGAAAAGAGGACGCGTTTTTTTCTGGAAGGCGAATGGATGTTTATTGATACATCTTAACGGACTAATTACTTATCTTAATTAGAAACCCGATGCAGCATTAGGCTTATACAGGATATATACCTCTGGGTAGTATAGACACAATACAGTACTTTTCGATTTAAAGCTTTCGTGACTGCAGGGATTCATATTCTTGGTTCTTTCGGTAAAGTCACGTAGAAGGGAAATAATAAAATAACAAAAATAAAACATAATAAAATAAAATTCTCACGACGTTTCGGCCACAACGCAAGCAGCCGCCCTCAGGTGAAGAAACAGATCTGTCGGAAAGACAGCGTTCTAACGTCGTGAGAATTTTATTGTTTTATTTTTATTATTTACCTTCTACGTGACTACCGAAAGAACCAAGAATATAATAACAATACAGTACTGTACTGTTTCCAGCACTGCACTAGTACTCGACATGACTATAACCTGAGCCTCCTATTATCCGCCGGAGCTCTGTAGTATCCGAGAAAACTCCTCATATTCGCACCCCTGATATTCTTAATTTTTAAATGGGGCCGTCCATAAATGACGTCACGCGATTTTGGACGATTTTTGACTCCCCCCTCGTCACACGGCGTCACAGTCAGACCCCCCCCCATGTGACGTCACAAAGCTCTGCCCCCCCCCCCAAAACCATATTTCCATTTTGAAAATAAAACATGCTTCAAATCGCTTTAAACTATTGTCATTGTAGTGCGTATTTAATGTGGCGCTGCACTCTGATGTTGTAGGAGCAAACATTTATTAAAAAGTATATTTCATTAAGTAGAACGTGTTGTCTATATTTTTTTAAAGTTGCGCATTTTGATGTGACGTCACATTTGTCCCCCCCCCCCGTCACAAATGTCTGACCCCCACCCCCCCTAGGTGCGTGACGTCATTTATGGACGGGCCCTTGTCCGGGTAAAAACATTATCAGAGCACAATGCTGACAATGGGATCAACGATTTTCGTTCCCCACATCACAGCGAACAAGAGGAGTTAAAACGGAAGCAGTGCTTTAGCCATGGCCAGTGTGATCCTGAGTCAGTCAAATAGGGGAAACTCCACATTCCCACGACGGAAACTTTTGTGTTTCTCTCCACAGGACGAACATTACTGACTTGCCAGTCCAACGCGTGGCAGGGATGATCTCGGCGTGAACGCTGCTGACCTCGAAGCAAAAATGGGGCGTGCTGGGTGGGATGTGTAAAGCTCTGCGCATCTTTGCACGGGACGTGAAGGAGGATCGATAGCTAGCCGAGATGCACGCGCGCACTCAAGTTCAAGTTCATTTATTATGTATAGCCCTTCTTCTTGGTTCTTTCGGTAAAGTCACCTAGAAGGGAAGTAATAAAATAATAAAAATAAAACATAATAAAATAATTATCACGACGTTTCGGCCACAACGCAAGTAGCCGTCCTCAGGTGGAGAACAGGTCTGTCGAGGAGACAGACGTCCTCAGGTGGAGAACAGGTCTGTCGAGGACGGCTACTTGCGTTGTGGCCGAAACGTCGTGAGAATTATTTTATTATGTTTTATTTTTATTATTTTATTATTTCCATCCTACGTGACTTTACCGAAAGAACCAAGAAGATGAATCCCTGCAGTCACGAAAGCTTTAAATCGAGGTATAGCCCTGTGAGCCATTAGGCTCTTGAATCGGGTGCAACCACAACAAACAAAAACATGAAAAAGAAATTACTCTTTGGTTCTTTCGGTAAAGTCACGTATAAAGAGAAAATAATAAATTAAATACTAGCATACGACGTTTCGATTGCAACACAAGCAATCATCATCAGGTATAAATGAAATAGAAACACAAATCTAGTATACTTAGAAATGTCATGTAATACAACAGAGAGTGGGATAACATAACAGTCAACACCCTACCTGGTTGATTACGCTCTTCCTGAGAATGCTAAATTTGAGAGAGAGATAAGTATGAACAAGAAAACATCTTAAAGTGACTATGTGACTCCAACTCTCATCCTGGAGGGGAACTCCCCTCTCACATCGTGAGTGGTGTCATCATCTCACGTTTCTTGTCATGCCGCAATAGCCCCCCCCCAGCCCCCGCGCGCA